TCTTTATAAAGGGAGTTTTTTTCTTATTTTTCAAAACATATTTACAATAAGAATTTTAAAGTCTTTTTCTATTAATACCATCATCCAGATCCCCTCAACAATCATTTCTATTGACTTCTGATTTTCTGTATACTACCATTATTTCCCTATTTTTTGTGTTGTAATGTGTCTTGAAATTTGGACATTTTATGGCATATCAAGTGGCAACTGTGGTAACAATCCTTGTAAACATACACACACACTCACACACACATTCATATAACATACCGCCAAAATTGTATTGAAATCCCCACAATTAATGTAGTTGTTGCTCCTGTTTGTTTGTTTAATGAATTTTGGGACTCTTAATATGAAGTCTATGTTTGCTCTAGAGTGTGTTAAGTGGAAGTGTATGTCCAGTTAGCTGAGTCTTAAGATAATGTCTGAACAGAAATTTTTATAAGTTTCTTCAATCAATAGATTATGTCTTCTATCCTTTGCTGAGTATTTGTGATGGGGCACAACTTTAACGCTGCTACAGTCTAGAATGTGATCCTCAAAATTCATGTGTTTCTGTTGATATTATTAAGAGGTGGGGCCTTTATAAGGGGATCAAGTTGGAAGGGAAGAGAGCTGTAAATGGGTGAAAAGAAGGCATCTAAAAAAGGACCTGAGGAAGTGGGTTTGCTCTTCTTCGCTTAGGCACTATGAGAACACCTATGAGAGGTTATATAGGAGAAATAGGCTTTACCCAGACACTAAACATGCAGGCATCTTGATCATGTACTTAACAGCCTACAAAACTGTGAAAGAACAAGTGTCCCTCAGAAATTACTCAACATCAAGGTATTATATTGTAGCAACACAAACCAAGACAAATGTTCATGTAGCTGACAAGTCTGCCTACATCTTTACTTCCTGCTTATTCAGATCCTCAGGTCAGCCACATGAAGAGAATGGAGCCCTTCTAGCTCAGTTTCGACCAGAGCTCAGTCTTTCACATGGACCTAGTTTATTAGGTCTCCATTAATACAACAGAATTTTTAAGCCCCTTGTGGACATCTTTTTAATAAACCTTCCTTCTATGTTTTTGTTTACCCCAAGAGAATTTTCTAATGTAAACAATTGTCAATGATTTTTTTCAACAAATACTCCAGTCATAAAACAATTAGTATAGAATAATCTTTAAGTGAAGTCAAATGAAGACAACGGTCCATGAAAAGGACGTTTCCAGAAAGCTCAAAAAACAAATTAAAAGTGACAGTGGACTAGACGTAGTAGTCTCTGAAGTACTCCAAAACTGATTTGGTTATTCCAACAGCAACAAGTTTTCTGATTTTCATAGATGCTGTGGTTGCAAGGCTTTCTTTTTAAGACTATTTCATAATTACAGAATGGTGAATAGGAATAGGATTAGTAACAAAACCATAAATCTTGCTGTTTTTACCAAGGTTTAGCAGTTTTCCTTACATAATTGAAAGGATTGTTGCTATGCTTTGATTTAGTTTTAGTTTTAGTTCTATAAAAGTACCATTTAAAATACCAGTGATCTTGTTTACTTTATGGAGGGATGCGTTCATGAAGTTCCTCACATATCAGTTTTTCTTGATCAAAATATTTCAGAATAAGTTTATAATTTCTCAGTTAATCAGGATCTTTCATGATTGCATAAATCTTTACACATTCATCATAAGGGCAGCAAGATCACTTGAGTAATCACAGATGGAAATGTTTCAGTACCTGTATTATTGGGATATGTGATTTACTACCTGAGTAGGAGGTGATGACATTTTAAAAAGGTAAACCATGTGAGTCAGTTCCCTCTATATATACATGTATATATGCATACATATAAATATGTGTGTGTATTGAAAAGGATAGGCATAAATATTCTATTTTTATGTTATTCTGTTTTTCTGGAGAACCCTAATACACTAAAGAATACAAATTTCCTTGATTAACAGGGAGACTCTAGGTGTTTTGTTATACTCTCAAATGATTTATGGATATTCAGCTGAGTGTTTGGCAGCTCCTTAGGGAGTGCCTCAAGAGGTGGAAAAAATCCATAAATTGTTCTCACTATTCCATGGGAGAAACATGTGGAGGAGTCAAGAAAGAGGCTTCATTACAGGTAAAAAAAATAACCAGGATAGAACATTGCATGTGGTGCCATATGTTGCACATATCCACAATATTTCAGTGACATTTACAAAGTGCCATTTTAGTTTAATTGCAAAACCTCAAACTCATCACTTAGTTCTCTGTGCTTTCTACCACTCAATAATGCCTGAACAGAAATAAAATTTTTAAATATTTTGTATAGTATGATAGCTAAAAGTGTATTAATCTTACAAATGACAACATGGTGTTGCTTATAATGTACTTGTTTTATATAAATAAGGTTATCTTCAACTGAGGCAAAAATTGAGAGCAAACTGAACACTATTAAAAGGATATGTATGTGTTTTTTAAATGGCATAATGAGAAAGCTATCTGCTCTTGTTGATGTTTTTCCAAATATTTACTATCTCTAGGCTCTTGTGACCCTGTAAGGTAATCTTCTAAGATTGGCTTAAAATAGTGTAACATTCAATAATTATTTTAAGTAATATATGGCTATGATTCTTTCCTCATTTGTTGATGAGAAAGAAAGGGAGTTTGTACATCATGCTCAGATGTAAAAAACACTATTTGAAGACAAGGAGACTTTGAAAAGCCAGTTTTATGGTAAAATAGAAGTCCAGACTGTATTTTGATTTCTAGTGAGATAGGACAAAAAGCAAATATAATTTTCTCAAAGACAATGTTTTCATAAAAATGTAATTGCTACCCAAAAAAGACAGTAGAATCCAAAAAGCAATCCAGTTCTTTCTGTAAAACTCCAAAGCTGGCTGTGAGAAGCTCCCTACAAGAATATAACTACTTACCTAGTGTGATTTTCTTTTTGTTGGTGTTTTTGTTCTTAATTATAAAACAAAACAAATAAATAAAATACAAGGTTTACTTTGCTTATTTACTGAATAAATTATTCTAATACTATTTACTGGTTCTTATTTCCATATTTCTAATACAAGAAAGACATACTCATAGAGACATAGTAGGAAAATAGGAGATTTCTATCTTATGAACAATATTTTAATTGATTTAATTATAAATTACATGTAATCATGTTAACATTCAATGTAAAATGTATGCTTTATTTTTACTAACAACTCAGAGATTGCTTTCTTAAGTATTAAAACCCATTAATTTCAAATAAAAAATTTTCTTACATCAACATGCCTTCCTCCTCATAATTTTTAATTTTTAGGAAATGCCAATATACTTTTTATTTTAAATGTGTATCTACATTATGTGTTATATCACAATTTGAAGAAGTTCCTGTTATTTAAATGCACAAAAGAATTTAAAATCACATCCAAAGTTCATGGGCATCTGATCCATGGTGTTTTTGTCCCTTTCGTATTATATAACATAGAGTTTCAGCTTTTCTTTTCATTTTTAAACTTTAGTACTCCTTTAATCAAAAGACATTTTCATGAACTTCCAATGCTCTTGTTCCCAACTGTCTCAGATTTCCTATCATTCTTTTAAAATCTTCTGTGATAAAGTACATTTAACCTTTTACATTCTAGTTAGTGTTCCTCAGTTATAATGAAAATCCCTTCTTAGAAATAGTAATATTTCAAGCAAATTTATGCTAAAATAATTAATATTAATTTATGCCAATATAATTAATATTAAAGTATTATTAGATGAGTTGTGGAAAAACACAAGGTGAGTATTTCAAAACAGTAGCACAGTGATTGTCCAGTTTTCATCATGTAGTGGAGGAGAGCTGGGGAAAAGACTGAGATAAGCTGTATGTATTACATCCTGCTTGATTCGTCATCAACTCATCATTGTAAACCTGACAAGTGGCTACATCCTACTGCAAAATAATTTACATATGCCTATGAAAGTAAAACCTTTTCCAGGTATGATACATTAACAAATTTAAAAAACTAACAAAAAGAACATTTTATACTTAATATTTTAGTATTATTTCTAAGTAGCATAGGAACATTGAGTCATTTAATCTTCATAGATTCTTCTCAACAAATACTTGAAAGACATGTTGGTTTTCAGTATGAGAATAAAGATCTCTAAATCACACGATCTAAAATGCACTCTTTCCCCAAAGAAACCTTTGAATGTTAATACTCTAGACCATATCTTTGTACATATGCCTCCTGGCATTTTCTCCACTTATACATAAATGACGCCACTGTGATCTGTCATGTTGTTGCTATTTATACAAATGCACAATATCTATTCAGTGAATGGAAGTTTTAGCTGCATGAACAGTAAATGTAAGTGTTTTCAGAGGACTATGTTTTGAGGTAAGTGAGTTTGTGCATTTCTGGAATTTGTATCCAGAAATTTTTTATAAAACTGCAAGTATAGAATATTATTAAATTAGATTAATAAATATGACTAGATAACAAGAATCACACAAAAACACTAAGGAGTTTAATACTTGGCCATATTTTGAAAAATGAATTTTAACATAAATTTTAAAAAATTATTTTATAAGCTATCTATGAATTAATCTATCATCTGTCTATTTCATCAGGATTTCTCAAACTCAGCCCTATTGATATTTTGCATTGGATATTATTTAGGATATTATTTACTGGATACAGTAGGATGTTAACACTTTAACATCTAATCTTTAGATACCAGAAGCAGCCCAATTCCTATTGTGACCAAAAAATGAGTGTAGACATTGAAAATGATGTCTGGTGAATAAAATCAATCCCAAATTATCACTAATGATCTATCTCTGTTTCTACCACTAATTCTATCATTCATATTTTATTTATGAAAAATCAATTTATTTTCAAATACTGTAAGTTGGAAAGTTTGATGTATTTTATTTGCTCTAGCTTTATTTACTAAAATTCTCCTTAGTAAGAACACTCAAAAGATATTGAATATGCTGCTATCTCTCTCCAGAATAGGTTTTCTGATAGACCTGAATGGAGAAGCACAATCTCACAGTGGTGAGAGAATTCATTCTGGTGGGCATCACAGATCGTCCTGAGCTGCAGGCTCTGTTATTTGTGCTGTTCCTCAACATCTATGTGATCTCAGTGGTGGGCAACTTGGGCATGATCATCCTTACCAAGGTGGACTCCAGGCTACAGACCCCAATGTACTTTTTTCTTAGACATCTGGCTTTCACAGATCTTGGTTATTCAACAACTGTGGTTCCAAAAATGTTAGTAAATTTTGTTGTAGATCAAAATACAATTTCCTATTATCTTTGTGCTATACAACTAGCTTTCTTTCTTGTCTTTATTGTTAGTGAACTTTTTATTCTGTCTGCAATGTCCTATGACCGCTATGTGGCCATCTGTAACCCACTGCTCTACACAGTCATCATGTCACAAAGGGTATGTAATGTACTAGTGTCAATTCCCTATCTCTACTGCACATTTGTGTCTCTTCTAGTCACCACAAAGATTTTCACTTTACCCTTCTGTGGCTACAACGTCATCAGGCATTTCTACTGTGACAGTATCCCCTTGTTATCTTTACTTTGCTCAAATACTCATGAAATTGAATTGATCATTCTAATCTTAGCAGCTTTTGATTTGATTTCCTCTCTTCTGATCGTCCTTGTGTCCTACCTGCTCATCATTATAGCCATTCTCAGAATGAACTCTGCAGAAGGCAGGCGTAAGGCTTTCTCCACCTGTGGGTCCCACCTGACAGTGGTTATTGTCTTCTATGGGACTTTGATATTCATGTATGTGCAGCCCAAGTCCAGTCACTCCTCCAACACTGATAAAGTGGCTTCCATCTTTTACACCTTGATTATCCCCATGTTGAATCCCTTGATCTATAGCTTGAGGAACAAAGATGTAAAATGTGCTTTACAATGGACATGGAATAACTTATGCAATTTGTTTTCATTATCTTGTCATAAAATATGATTCCTGCAATTTAGATTAATGGCATAAAGTTTTATTCTGTATGTATCCAGAAGAAATAACAAGTAAAATTTTTTAACATGTATTTGCATATTGAACTATGCATACAGGTTATTTTAGTTGATGTATATAGATTAATAAAGAAAAAAATTAAAATGTTGCCTTCTTTAAAAGGGATAAATGAGTCATATGCATAGTAAATAAGTTTTATGGGAGATAGATATCTAGATACTAGATGGATCTAGATAAAAAAGAAGCAGCAAAGAAAGTAAGGATGCTAAGGTGGAGAGAACCCTGGGAATTACAAAAGGAAATACAAAGGTATTGTGCTTTCATTGCCCATTCTAATAAACTTATAGTGCTTATCTCCTGCATGTGCATTTTGTTTGTGAGTATGCAATCTCATTCTTTCTGGATTAGCCTTCCTAGTTTTCAGTAGTATATTCTGCAATGTATTTAGCACTAGTTACTTATATGATGTTAATTATTTGAAGCCTTATAGCTATGCTGAAATAATTAATATTACAAACATTATTGTCTTCCTCAACCTCATCAGTGCCTTTATTTCACATACTAATCTGTTTAACTGAAACTCAGTAATTCACAGATTCTAACTTTCACATGCTTTTATCTCAATCAGCCCATGTTTTTTACATTCATGGAAGGGTCCATGAAATAAAATATTATGAAGCCCTTTACAAATGTGTGGAAGTTTATGCATTTACTCTAGTTGTAGGTCTTTGTAACCACCTGTTCACTTGTATAGATTTTTTTATATTCATAATAAGTAAGGTAATCACTGATATTTGAAATTTATGTTCTCCCTGTTTCCATATCTTCAGGTGAGAGTGCCATTTAATGATGAATTGATTTTGTTGCCTTTTATACCATGTTGACATTTGTCAATTTTGATCAATACTGAATTTACATTGTATTCTCATGGACTTTCCTATGTGACTGCATTCATTTATTGTGGAACTTGTGAGAATGAACAGAAAACAGCCATCGAGACAGCACAATTTCACATTACTCTTCTGGTCTTTGCATGATTGTTACATATCACTCCCCACATTTTCCCATGAAAATATGTTCATTTTTTAAAATCTTATTATTTTTCCTTAGGTCACCCCCACTAAATAAAATCTATGTATAGGCAATAAAAGTTAAATAGACATATTTCATTGACATAAATTTAAAAGTGCACAGTTCATTGTTTCATGAGGATAAACACTACCATATTGTTGAAGCAGTTAAAATCAGTCTTTAAGATGATCGCATGAACTACCAAGAAACACTAAGTAACAATATTATTGAATAATAAGTGATAGATATTCTCCCATTCTCAGTTAATTTAGCCATCACTTACCCTTGTGAGGTCAACTCAACTAAATATTACATTTTTCAGATGACAAAATAAAGGCTTCAAGAAAGTAAATTTACAAAATTCTCCAAGGGGTGAAATACTGGAGCAAGTTGTTAAAACCAAGTGATGACTCTCCAGATTACATACTCTTAACTACTCTATATTATTACTTATGTCATCCAGACATAAAAATCTCAGTTTGGCATAGTTCAGATTAGAAGAGGAGAAAAGTCATAGGAATCAATTATAAGATAAATAAATTCTGGTGATCTAAGGTACATTGTGTCTTGTGTCTAAATACATAATGCCACATTTTTTTAATTGAAATTTGGTGAGAGAGTAAATTTCAAGTGTGTTCCCCCTCTAACACATACTCTGGGTGGTGGATTAGTGAATGAATTTGTTCATGGTTATCAATACACTGTGTTTCTGTATATGAAATAATCAGATTATACACCTTGAAAGTATATAATATTATTTCTCAATGAAATATTTTTAATGAATTAATATTACTGAACAACTAGAACCATGTCAAACATGTAAAATGAATTCATGAAAGACATAAAAATCAGCAAATATGTAGACTCAGAAATATAAGTGCTCAGTCTTCCATTTTGGGTGACGTGGCTAAAATAAAAAGTCATCACTAAGTGCTTAGATGCAGGTAGCTTAATAACATTTAGAATAAATTATAGAGCAGAAAGGTGTTACAGGAATTAGTATTAAGTAGTCACACATGTACTCAACAGTTAAAAACTAGTTTTCCTTGATTTCTGTTCTTTGAAGTTCAGCCACTTTTGAGAAGGAAAATGGAGGAGAAGCAGAACTTTTAAAAATGGCTACAGCTAGGCTGGCAGAGTGACTCAAGCTAGAAGCCCTGAGTACAAATCCCAGTACCACCAAAAAAGTAAAATAAAATAAGATAAAAATTGCTGTAGCTGATGATCTGTAGGTAGAAGTCTACCAGGGATAATTAAGAGACAAATGCTTCTCCCTAAGGAAAGGAAGTCAGTCGAGGAAATAATTATTCTCTATCCTTTCTTGGAAAAATTGTGAGCTTCAGACATGTAGGAAATTAATTTAAGGGCAAAAGATGACAAAAATACTAACTCTGATATTGTGGAGTTACTGAATTAATGAAAAAGAAATCTGCCAGGTTCCAATAGTAGACATTTTTAAATGAATTTATCTTCATTGAACCAAAGTTTGTTGAGCAGCCCAGTATATGAATAACAGAAATATTTCTAAGTAGTACAACTGGGAAAGGCAGAACTCAACATCAATTAATGAAGGTTGAGCACCATGTTATTTTTCTAAGCTGGGCCATTCATGCAGACTTAGATGGACAAATTGCTTCTCTGAAAGATTTACCATATATTTCATATCACCATGATTAAGTTAAACATCAAAATTAGCCACCACAGTGATTAGATGAAAAGGGAAATACAGCTCAGAAATATATGTCAACCTCAAGAAAACACACTCCATAGAGTTTGTCATTGAAGGAGTTTCTGGAAAATAAGAAAGAAAACAGCAATTGAGGAATTTGAGAATGAAAGTTAAACATTATTATCTCTAGAATAAGAAATCTTCTGTGATTTAAAAAATATTTTATGAATGATAACAATCTTAATTTTCTCGAGTCAAATTGTATTTTCACACAATTTCTTTTTTTAATATTCCATAAGTTTTACTTACAGAAACACCAATGGTATTTTAAAACTCTAAATGAAACTTATAAGGAGGAAAACAAAAATGACTAAGATGAAGATAATATTGGAATTGCTGATTAGACATTACAGAAAAAGAAGGATTAGTGAAGTTGAACATATAGCAATAGAAACTATTCAAGAATGGAATATAAACAATTTTTTTTAGTAACACAACAATGAGCTATGGAACAATGGAAACCAGGGCACTGTGCATGCTAGGTAAGCACTGTCACTCAGGTACATCCCCAGTGCTGTGAAACAATATGAAATGATCTGAACCACAGCTAAATTGCAATAAAACAGTACTAATGTTTGTTAATATCTACAAATCTGCTGAGTTATTTTTCATGAAGAAGATGCCTGAAAATAACATGCTCATGGAAAACATATCCTATTAATCTGTTTAAGCAAACACTTTTTAAAAAATTTTTACTCTATGTCAAGTAGTTACATAGGTCAATTTACCAAGGCACAAGACTGAATACATTTAGAAAAAGAAAATCTGAGCATATACAAACTCCTGGAGACCAGGGACAGTTAACTAGTCCAAAGTGCTCCAATTTATAATCCAGAGGCCACGGAAAATCTAATTCTAAAACATCAGGTCCCATTATCTACAAAACATGTATTTCAGGATGCTCCAAGTTAAAGACTAAATAAAAGTTCATTGGTAACTTACTGAATGCAGTATCTCGAAGTTAGTGATGCCAAAAAAGGGGCACATCTGTCCTTTTTATGTTTTAATATATTTTTTATGTTTTAATATATTTTAAAAAAAGTTACAAATGCTGTGGCTAAAAAGAATTCAAGTTTTTCAAGAAGCAAATTTTTATAAACAGTACTGCAATGGAAGGGAAACAGTATGCTGATACAAAAATCTTTTATTAAGCAAGATTGAACATTTTTAAAATCAGAAAGTGTTAGCATTGAATCCTTTCTAATGTTTACACAAAAAAGCAAGCTGTACAATCTCCATAATAAAATGTGTCCTTGAACACGTGTCCTGGTTACTTTTGCAAATGTTAAAATTTATAGTTTGAGTAACTATATTTACTGAATACCTGGGCATTCAGTAAAGATGTCAGAAATAAAAGCTGCTTTAGATCCAACCAAGAGATTGAAAACAAGTCTCAAATAAAGCCAATGAATATTTACTTAAACAATCAATACTTTTGGGAAAATAATAGAGCAAAATCTAGCACTTGTAATTCTTAATATTCGGTATTGAATAACAATTAATAAACATGAGAAAGCAGGATCATGTGGCCCTATCCAGATGATAATTAAAATACATCTTGAAAGAGCAGTGATGATAAAAGGGCTCTAAAAGAATTATTACAAACAAGTTTAATACACTGAATAATTTAGTAAAAACATTAACACCATGAGGAAGTGAACTATTCAAAATAACCCAACGTGGGTTTAGGTAGATAAAAATGCAGTGTTAAATAAGAACAAATAATTATGTCATGAGAACTGAAATAGACTATATACTGAAAAAGAAAATGACTTAATTTAAGAATGCCACACTAGAGAATTCAAAATGAAGTCAGAAGGAAAAGAAAATATTGAATAAAAATCATAACAACGATTTTATCAGGTTACCTATCACATGTTTAACTGAAGGTCTAAGTAGAAAGAAGAGGCTATGTTACAAAAACCTGAGAAGACTTGCCAGTCAGAATTTTTTCTAATATATTTTAAAGGAAAATGCAATTTCATAGATGTAAAAGTCTATGGTAACTCCAAGAAGGGTAACAGATAGGAAAATACAACAACGTGTATGAAAATCAAATTTCTGGAAAGCATGAAGAGATAATTTACCACTGGTTTCTTTGCAGAAACAAATATACCTCTTGGATGTTGTTTCCTGTCAAGCTATTAATTACCACTCTAAATTTATTCTTAAGCAATGAGTTTATTATCAAACGTGTCGTATTCACTGTGAATTTGTTCCTCCCTTTGAGAACTGGATGTAGGAGATATACTTAACAGTTGCATCATATTCTGTAACTAAAATGCAGATAAAGGATATTTGTGATTTCCAGTGTTCAGTGATATTGCATGATTTATTTATCCCATTATGTCCAGAAATGAAGTTTTTTTTTCTTACTTTTTTAAAGGAATATTTGGAGAATAATTAATAGATATTCCAGGCACCACTGGGTAACAATGTGTAATTTGTTTATCCATGTGTTACATTTTAACATCCATACAACCAGACTCAAGGGAGTAGAAAATACTTAAATCTAGTAGCAATCTGCAGGATTAAAACATTAGGCTGCTGAAGTAGATTTTTCACTGAGGTAAGTTGAAACATTGAGTTTTGAACATTTCTGAGGGCAGGTAGTTTAAACTGGGTTATTATCAAAGATACAGAGGTCCTCTGTTCTCTGTAAAAGTGTTTAATGTACTTTTCTATCATCCATAGGCTTGATATTAAGGACAAACCTGTTATACCGTTCCTAATACTCCATGTTGTTTATTATTTATACCACCTTAGTTTCCAAATGAACTGACTGCTTTGGTCATCTATTTTGATGAGAAGCTTTGTCCATCAATTTTACTTGATGTTCCTCTCATCGTATTCTACATTTCCAGTCTACTCAGCATGCACTTCATGGAGACGTGGTACATTATAGAGTTTAGCAGACTTTTTTTATAAAGCAAAAAGTCTTTATTTGAATCCTGGTTCTACCATCTAAGCCTGAGTGACCCTTGTTAAATTATCTAATTCATTGAAGTTCAGTTTCCTAACCTAATAAGTGTTATTACAACCTAGAGTTGTATAGATTACAACTAGAGTAATTCATACCTGTAAAGTGCTTAGAAAATTGCCTGCACAATGTGCTCCCTCTAGTTCTTGCCATTGGTTTTATTCTTTCTACTGGACCGTTACTCATATTTCTCCCTGAAATGTTTGACAATAATCAGAATATTCCCTTGGTCCTTTTTGTACAGAAGAGGAGATGATTAGAAATAGTGAGTGATTATGAAAGAACAGGACAGATGTGGAAAAGGCAGACATAGATATTAACAAAACTCTAAAGTGAATATATGGCATTAGATTTTATATTTGGCAAATGAACCAAAATGTATTGAAGCATGTATGTACCTGACAGTCAGAAATTTCTAATTGCCACCTGGTTAATCATGAATGGTGTAGAAGGTCTTATTTGTTTTGCTTTGCTAAACAGATACGATTAATAACAAGGTACAATTTATGATTTAGGCATAGGTATCTGTTTTACAAATTACTTGGAATTTTAAAAAGCTATAATGAAATAGATAACTCTTTTGACATAATCAAAGGATGTGGAATTAAAAGGTTCACTTCAACATGACTTTGTGCTTTTTTTTTTTTTTTTGGTGGTACTAGGGTTTGAACTTAGGGCCTCACACTTACTAGTGAGGGACTCTACCACTTGAGCTACTTCACCAGCACTATCTTGTCCTTTTAAAGCATATTGTACCATGATTTCAATGACTTGAGTGTTGCTATGAGTGATTTTTTGGCATGATGAGTAAAGGGCTGACCATTTGGCATTTGAGACAAAGAAAATGTTTCTGTTTCTCACATGCTATGCTGTAAATTATCTTAGAAGAGAGAATTTCAAATATAATTTGTATCTTTTCATACTTTACACAGGTTACCATGATGAACCATATGGAGAAATTCAATCATACTATAGTGACACAGGTAACTGAATTTATTATTTTGGGAATCACCAATGAGCCTGGCCTGCAGGTGCTACTCTTTGGAATCTTTCTCATTGTATACTTGGTCACAGTGATTGGCAATCTGGGCATGGTTGTCTTGACCCATTTGGACTCCAAGCTACACACTCCCATGTATTTTTTCCTTAGGCATTTGTCAATCACTGACCTTGGTTACTCCACTGTCATTGGCCCAAAGATGATGATAAACTTTATGGTACACAAGAACACCATTTCTTACACAGGTTGTGCTGCCCAGCTGGCATTCTTTGAGATTTTCATCATCACTGAACTGTTTATTCTCTCAGCAATGGCCTATGATTGCTATGTAGCCATCTGTAAACCTCTTCTCTACATGGTCATCATGTCAGACAAAGTGTGTTGGGGGTTGGTACTTGCTCCCTATCTCTACAGCACCTTTGTGTCAATATTGCTTACAGTTAAGTTGTTTACATTGTCCTTCTGTGGATCTAATATTATCAGATATTTTTACTGTGATTGTCTCCCTCTGATGTCCATGGTCTGTTCTGACACACGTGAATTAGAACTGATCATTTTGATCTTCTCAGGGTGCAATTTGCTGTCCTCTCTCTTGATTGTTCTAGTATCATACATGTTTATTCTTGTGGCCATTCTCAGAATGAACTCAACTAAAGGGAGGTACAAAGCCTTCTCCACATGCAGCTCCCATCTGACAGTAGTTGTCATATTCTATGGGACATTATTATTTATTTACCTGCAACCCAAATCCAGCCATACTTTTGATGTTGACAAAATGGCTTCTGTGTTTTACACCGTGGTCATTCCTATGCTAAATCCACTGATCTACAGCCTGAGGAACAAAGAAGTGAAAGATGCTGTAAAAAGAATGTTAACTCATGGATTCAAAATCCCCACTTAATCCTTAATATTTAGTTTCACAGTGGATCTATGTCTTTGTTTAATAACTGTGTCAGATTAATGAGAGCTGCGAAAAGTAGAACTATTTTAAAAGCTTAAATTTTTCTCTTTATCTGGATAAAACATTTCCTCTTATGTCACCTGTATGCATTGTCCTCCACTTCAAGAATAAATAAATATTGTAGACTGATTGATAATAAAAGTCCCCAGTGATGTCTATAATCATATTATAACACATAGTATTTATAACTAAGAAAATTCGTACCAAATTTGTGGTTGAACTTAGACTTGCAGGATTTAGAATAAGTCTCAACTAATTAAAATGGAGCAAATTAAACCATGTAATATTAATATGTATTTTACAGCAGTCATTGGGTATTAAAGTTAAATGAGGTTATTCCATGAAGAATGTGTCAACTACACATGATGCAAGAAAGAAATAATATGTGACAATTAAATGACATGAAATTTTGTTTTCAAAACTCTAGGGTATGAGAAAAGAAACATGTCACAACAGAATGAGGTTTTCAATCAAATTATGATAACATTATATATATATCAAGAATATTTTGGATACCTAAAAAGAGTTTTTATTAGAAACTGCAAAAAGGGTTAGAAAATTCTATGTCTTCTAATATATTCTTATGCTACACACACTTTGGTATTTACAGACTCCTAATTCACTGATTTCAGATTGAAATGTAGCAATAAGCAAGTTATTTGGCAATATACTAGAATGGCATTATTACTTTTAAAATATATAATGATGATTACACAGGCTAAAGATAAGTAGATACACTAAATGGTTAATCGTGTTTTATTGATGTGTCTTTTGTCTCTATCCTTATATGTAGTGACATGTACTCCATGTTAACAAAATGTTTATTTCACATTTCTAAAATCTGTAAAATCTCTAATATTCCTGCAATGCATAACTCCAGTTCTTGTCTTGTATCTTGATTCACACAGAAAAACATTCTCTCTTGATGAATTTTCTCAAAGAATTCAAATTTTCTCAAAGAATTCAAATTTTCTGCAATGGAAGGCATTATGGCATTGAGATGTTGAGGATTGATAGGTAATACAGAAACTTACCTCTTTCAGTAAGCCTCCAAGGGATTCATCCTGGAATTTAGTCCCATGGAGTTGAGATCAAGGTGCAATTTAACAGGCTTGTCTTAGTTAGACATCAAATTTAGTATCATTTTTAATAACAACTGCCATGGATAACTTGTGAGAAGAGAAAGGCCTATACCTATCCTCATTGTATAAAGTCAAGTTGTTTTCGTGTATAGCTTTAGGCTGCTTCTTTATAGTAGGGAAAAAGATCCAGAACAGTCAAGACAATCCTAACAAAAACAATATCGAAAAACTCAGAGTACTGTTTTCAAGACTGACAATCAACAAACTACAGTACACAAGATAATGCTACATTAAAAGATATAGATAAGTCAATATAAAGTAATAGAAATTCCAAAATACTGCAACATATGTCTGTTTACATTATAAATAAGACATTCAGATATAATAATATGCAATATAGGAGCATCTGTTTTATTACATGGATCTCTTTCTTGTTTCACTGGCCTGCAAAAAATGTGTCCACAAAAATACATACTAACTCATGTTAC